AGTTATTATGAAAGTACTAGTATTTGCGCCCATGCGTTGCACGGATTGGATTTATTATAATATTTTAAAAATATTTAGATCAATATACAATTGTATAAATTATAATATCGAATATTATATAATATAATTGAAGAATTGAGTTGCACTGATTATGTTTTCTGATGTTATCAATGCTTGAATTCGAGTAAATAATTGTCTAATAAATAACTAACATGTAGATATACGCATTCGGTGTTGCAACTTTAGAGGTTTTATATATCAATGTTTAGAATTTGTATTAATTGGGCTAATTATCTTGTTGTCTAGCAACTCAGTTATAGGAATTATTTATACGGAAGATATATTTTCTATGTAGATATATAACAATTTTGTCATCTTTGTATATAAAAAAACATAATATCAATGGCTTGAATAATTATACATTATTGAAAATCTCTTTGTAGACGACATTGGTAGTAGTAATAGAATTTTATCCATCCTTGTCTAGAGTTAAAACCATCAGACCAGTAATAAGTTAACGTGAGTTAGTGTTTGACCCTGACTTTTGCTGATAGCCATGGCATATGCGAGCATCAACGTGAATTGTTTTCGTTAGAACTTGAAGGGAAATCTCGTATCAGAATGGTGAAAGACATTTTAATTGAAGATTTTACTTTTATTAATAGTATAGATATAGATTGGTGTAAATAATAATTAATAAATTATTATTTTCTTATAAAATTACATAGAATTTCAAATGAATTTTCTCATTTATTACGCAGAATTTGTTTCCGTTATTCTAACAATTATAATAGTTTAATTATTTTCAGAATTTGACAACCATTTTTCATTTTAAGTACATATTAACTTTAATTTGTGATAAAAATTCATTAGATATTAGTTAATTTTCATATAAAATTTTGTTACCAATTAAACGTTATTAATATTTTTACCAATTAATTAATATTCATATTAATTTAGGCGGGAATGTGGAAAATGAGGATTTATTAATAGTATAAATTGGTGTAAATAATAATTAATGAATTATTATTTCTTTATAAAATCACGCAAAATTTCAAACGAATTTTCTCATTTGCTACGCAGAATTTGTATCCATTATTTTCACAATTATAATAATTTAATTATTCTCAGAATTTGGTAACCATTTTCCATTTTTATGTACATATTGACTTTAATCTGTGGTAGCAATTCATTAGATATTAATTAATTTTCATATAAAATTTTGTTACAAATTAAGCTTTATTAATTTTTTACTAATTAATTAATATTCATATTATTTTGGGCGGGAATGTTGTAAAGGAGGATTTTAATTTTATTAAAGTCATTCCACTAAGGAAATTAAAACTAATTAAAGGAAATCTAATCATGCTATATTTATTTGTAAATTTATATTGATTTCATTTTGAAATCATTAGTTTACATATTTGAATTATTTATTTTTCTTTAATTATTCTCATTGTAAACATAAATGATATTGCAATAATTAATTTATGATATTTATCAAATTGTATTTTTTAAAATATAAAATTTTCTTATGTTTAGGGATCAAAAATATTTTAAAATTATTTTTATTAGTAAGTCTTTTTCATTTTTAAAATAATTTCCAGCAATCCTAACACTCCCTTAGTCTCTAATAAAAAAATTGAAAAATAAAAGTAATTTTATTAAGAAAATTAAAATTAATTAAATTAATCTAATCAAGCTATATTTATTTGTAACTGTATATTAATTTTGTTTTGAAATCATTGATTCGTATCTTTGAATTATTTATTTTTTTTTCTTTAACTATTATAAACAGAAATTATGATATTTAACAAATTGTATTTAAAAAAAATATAACATTTACACACGTTATGAGGGGTTAAAAAATATTTTATAATTATTTTTATTAGTATGTAAGATGAAAAATAAAAGTCATTTCATTACGAAAATTAAAACTAATTAAAGTAAATCTAATCATGTTATATTTATTTGTAAATGTGTATTAATTTCATTTCGAAATCATTGGTTCACATCTTTATAACTATTTTTTTTTCTTTAACTATTATAAATAGAAATTATGATATTTATCAAATTGTATTTTAAAAAAATATAATATTTACACATGTTATGAGGGGTTAAAAAATATTTTAAAATTATTTTTTATTAGTATGTATTTTTATTTTAAAATATTTTTCGTAATCCAAACACTTCATCAGCCTCCCATAAAAACTGATAAAGAAAAGTCATTACATTAAGAAAATTAAAACTAATTAAAGTAAATCTAATCGTGCTATATTTATTTCTAACTGTATATTAATTTTATTTTGAAATCATTGATTCACATATTTGATTTTTTAAATTATTGTAATTTATAAAAAGAAATGATATTGTACTAATTAATTTATTATATTTATCAAATTGTATTTTTAAAAAATATAAGATTTACACATATTATGAGGGGTTAAAAAATATTTTAAAATTATTTTTTATTAGTAAGTATTTAAAAAACAAAATTTACAGCAACCCAAACCACTCCCTTAGTCTTCCATATAAAAACTGATAAAGAAAAGTCATATCCTTGAGAATTAAAACTAATTAAAGTAAATCTAATCATGGTATATTTATTTGAAATTGTACATTAATTTCATTTTGAAATCACTGGTTCATATATTTGAATTATTATTTTTTATTTATTATAAGCATAAATGATATTGTACTAATTAATTTATGATATTTATCAAATTGTATTTTTTAAAATATAGTGTTTTACCTGTGCGTTGTCCGGATAAATTTTTTGTTATTATAAATTTAAAATTAAAATAGAAAAACTAAAATGATGTTAAAATGTACAATATAATAATATAGTTGGACTTTTATATATTTGGTCAAGTATCTATTTTCATAACGTACAAAATTAAAATTCAAGTTTTGTATGGTTAATATAATCTCTAATCATGTACATATTTAGATAAATTTATAGAAAAAATTCATATAATTAAGTTGATTACTACAATGTAATAGAGCTAGTAGCATTCAAAAAAAAAAGTTGATTAATTCCAAATTGTATTTCATATATATTATAATTCTAAAAATATGAATAATAATAATAACTAAGAGAATTGTATTTTGAAATCAATAAAAAATGTAAATTACTCTAAATTTTTTATGAATAAATATAAACTCTAATCAGACGCATATCATTATATGATTGTATAATACATTGTATATACACATAATATTTATTAATATGTATATAGAAAAATTCTATAATATAATTTCAATAATTATAATTTATATTGATAGATTTATACTTAAAAAATTATATTTATAAATTTAAAAAGTGTATGTATTTATATTTAAAAAATTATAAATATTCATGATTTTTTTAATTTTATAATTTCATTTCTTTACTTATATTTCATATTTATTAATTATAACGGTCACAAATGTAATGAAATTGTCACAAATATTTCATTAATTATATTAATTATAATTACCAAATATTGTGGCAATTATCATGATAATTTCATTAATTATATTAATTATAACATTTGTTCTCTTCCAATATTTAAATACATTACCATAAAATGACCATAATAATTACACAAAAGAAGGAAAGAAAAATTATGAGAATAATTACCTTTAATAAAAATTAGAAAAAAATAATCTATATATTAAGGTAAGTACAATTTATTTTGTGCCAAAATATTATACATTAAGTATGAAAATATATATGTCTATAAATTACCATAATAATTACACCGGAAAATGTGACAATACATAATTATTAAAAAATAATATTAATAATTAATTATTAAGGCAAGTATAATTAATTTTGTACTAATAATATATATATATATATATATATATATATATATATATATATATATATATATATATATTTTTTTTTTTTTTTTAATTCTATATTGATAAGCATAGTCTGTGTATATACTTTAGGAAAAATATTCATTATTAAAAATAGAATATAATTTAAAAATTAAATTATTAATTAGATTACCTAATATAATTGTTCTAGTAATTGATTTCATGCTGCTATGTATAATTCATATATCTGAAAACTTTTAAGAGCTAAATAACTATTAATTGCCTTAATAATTAAGATAATTTTTAGTCAATCAATATTCAATAGTATTAAAAGTATTATTTCGAATTTTTATAAATAAGATATAATATTATTAAACCAAAATAATTAAAAATAATGTGTACATATTACCAAAGATTTTATAATAGTAATTTTTGTTGCCTAATAGAATTTACCAATTATTAAACATTGTTTATGGTAATTATTGTATGACATTTAATACTAAAATTATTAGATAGAATTTTTATAATTTAATTAAGGTATAATATAATTATTCCATGAACGGCTGCTATACCCTTTTTTTTTTTTTTTTTTTTTTTTTTTTTTTTGCTTATGTTTGTTTTTGTTTCCAGGATTTGTGATATATCTTTTGTTGCACAAGGAAACTGGACTGATGTGCCATGCTTTCTCTCCTATTACTTCTCTCCAGTATCTTACATAAGCTGGTTCTAGCTCATAAAAAGCTGTTTACTACTAATCCATAGCTATCTTCTTCTGCGTTCTTGATTTTATGGAACGTTTGTATAATAATGTTTTATGGATCATCCTTCACCGTCTCTGGTACCTGCTGCTTGGATATTTTCAGGGTGTTTGGAAGGTAAGGCCGGGATGATGAATTCTTCAGAGTCAGATTCAATCTTCTCATGAGGTTTATACTGTGATGAATAAGGAAGCAAATAATGCAGAATGATGAATGAGGAAGGCAAATAATGAAGACCAATTCTTGCAGATTTCTTTACTGTATATTCCTTGTATATAGTGATTTAGTTTCCTTTCCAATAGCTTACCTTAGTTTCTTTGCATGTATTTATTCTTTGCTATTATCAGTAATTAAACAGGCCTTTCCCTCATCTTCCTTTTTCACGTCTTACCAATATCCCTTGAGTTTCTCAAACAACTGCACGCCGTTTTTATCATGGCATCAGAGTCAGGTTACGACAAGGCGAAAGATGTTACGCCGAAGACATCGGATGAAAGCGGTGAAGAAACAGAAAAGACCCAGCGTGGTAAGATGGCATCGAAAGCAACAGAAGTTTTGCCTGGTTGCATAGATGTCATGTCGCCATATTTCTTACATGCTTCTGATGCTCCAGGGCATGTTTATGTTACTGAAGTCCTCCGTGATGGCAACTACGGAGAGTGGGTAAATGATATGCGAGATGCATTGTTTGCCAAAAACAAGATGGGTTTTGTAGATGGATCTCTGTCCACACCGACACCCGACTCACCATATTTACAACAGTGGATGCATTGTAATGCTATGGTGAAAGGTTGGCTAAAGAGTGCAATGGACAAGGACATGAGAAACAGTGTAAGATATGCCAATACAGCCAGAGATATTTGGGAGGACCTGGAAGAAAGGTTTGGGAAGGGAAGTGCACCAAGAGCCTTTGAGATTAGGCGAGCAGTGGTACTCCTACAACAAGAAAAGGCTTCTGTTTCGTCTTACTACACAAAATTGAAAAGCCTCTGGGATGAGACGATGGCAATCTCTCCACTACCAAGATGTGTTTGCAGTGGATGCGCATGCAATAATATCAAAGCAGTTCGCCGATATGAAGGAGAAGGAGCAGTTATGATTTTTTGATGGGATTGGATGAAGAATTTAATGCAGTGAAGTCACAGATTCTCAGTTCAAAACCAACGCCAAGCCTTGGTCGAGCGTATCATATGGTTTCTGAAGACGAGCAGCAAAGACAAGTCTCAGCCACTCATAAACCAGTGGTTGAATCTACAGCATTCCAAACACAGAGATTTTCCAATGAAAAGGATGGCGGAGGAAGAAGAAGGGATAAACCCATTTGTGGACACTGCCAGAAGATTGGACATACTGAAGATCAATGCTATGAAATAATTGGTTATCCCACACATTGGCAGAAAGGTCCTCGTGATAAGAGAGGAGGGCAATACACAGACTAGAAAGCAATGCTAAAAGTAGCCCATGTTGATGCAGATGTGAATCCCTTACGAAGCCTTACACAAGACCAATTGGCAAAACTTGTTCAGTTCCTGAATACAGACGAAGACAAATTCAAGCATGATGGGGCATCAACAAACCCAACTGTTAACATGGCTGGTAAGATTAATAAACGAAACTCGTGGGTGATAGATTCTGGAGCAACAGATCACATAGTGTGTGACAGTGAGCTATTGAATAGAGTGGAGATTGAAAATGGTGATTTTCCTGTCATCATACCGAAGGGAGACCGAGTGGCAGTTAAAAGCATAGGAAGTAGTAAGCTTCCTAATGGGTTGCAAATAAACCGTGTCTTGAACATCCCGAATTTTAAGTGCAATTTGATCTCTGTTGGCAAGCTGACAAAGGATTACAATTGTACACTAACTTTTTTTCCGGATTTTTGTGTACTGCAGGACTTACCCTCGAGGAAACTGATTGGAGTGGGTAGGATGTGCAATGGCCTTTACTACTTGGAGCCAACATTTCGTGAGGGTGTGGCAATGTCAGTTAACAGGGAGGACACGAATGTTTGGCATAGGAGGCTTGGTCATGCTTCTATTACAAAGATTAAGAAAATTCAGTTAGATTATGTGGTTGCTAGTAAGAATAATCTCTAATGTGATTCATGCATGCGTGCTAAACAATCTCGCCTGCCTTTTCCTGTTAGTAGCATTAAAACTAAATCTTGCTTTGATATCATTCACTGTGATATTTGGGGTGGTTACAAAACAACTTCTTTTTCTGGTGCACATTATTTTCTCACTATTGTGGATGACTTTAGTATAGGTGTTTGGGTATATTTGATAAAACACAAGTCTGAAGTTAGCCACCATCTTGTTTCATTTTGCAACATGATTTCCACCCAATTTGGGAAGGTGGTTAAGCAAATTCGAGCTGATAATGGCATGGAGTTTAGATCAAATTACATGCTAGATTATTATAAAGAGCATGGCATTATTTTACAAAGTTCTTGTCCAGACACCCCACAACAAAATGGGGTAGTTGAGAGAAAGCATAGGTATATCCTAGAAATGGCACGAGCACTACGATTCCAAGCCGGTTTGTCAATTGAATTTTGGGGGAATGCATTTTAACTGCTGTATACATCATTAACAGATTACCCTCTAAAGCCATTAAGGATAAAACACCTTATGAGATCTTAATGGGGAGAAAACCAGATTATAGCCACTTGCGTGTTTTTGGGTGTCTGACTTATGTGCATAATCGAAAGGGAGACAAGTTCGATGAGAGAGGGAAACCATGCATTTTTGTAGGATATCCCAATGGGCAGAAAGGATATAGAGTGTATGACCCAAGTGATGGAACCTTTTCCACCACTAGAGACCTGAGTTTTATTGAAAATATATTCCCTCATAAAAATAGTGTTCATGACTTGGAATCACTGGTTGAGTGCCCACACTCTCGTTTAGAGCCTATGGACGATGAGCATTATGCCATTCAGAAGATTGTGCAGGCCCAGGAAGCAAGTAATGGCAATACAGAACATAACCACTTTGTGAATAATAACCTTGAGGTGGAAAATGATAGTACTACACTCATTGAGACAAGTGAATTGGTAGATATACATGCTACCGAGAACCATGAACCTGTAGCGCCACCAGCGCCTCGTCAGAATGTGCAACTGCAGCATAGAAGCCAACGTACCAGAAGTGTACCAAAATATTTGGAGAATTATGAAACAACATTGCCACCCTCACTAGTGCCAACACCATCTACCCATCCTTCAGCATCCTCAACGGTATATCCCTTATCTCATTATGTCTCTTATGACAATTTCTCTTGTTCACACAAAGCTTTTTTAGCGGCCATCACTAGCCATGATGAGCCGAGAACGTTCAGGCAAGCGGTCAAACATGAACAGTGGCGAGATGCGATGCGAAAAGAAATTGCCGCACTGGAAGCAAATGGGACATGGGATATAGTTGAGCTTCCACCAAACAAAAGGGCGATAGCCTCCAAGTGGGTTTATAAAGTGAAATACAAGCCTAATGGAGAAGTAGAGCGATACAAAGCGTGTCTTGTAGCTAAAGGTTACACACAGGTAGAGGGTATCGATTATCATGAAACTTTTGCACCAGTTGCCAAGCTAGTCACCGTGTGCTGTTTATTAGCTGTTGCAATCAAGAAGTGTTGGGAAATTCACCAACTTGATGTAAATAACGCATTTCTTCATGGTGACTTGCATGAAGAGGTTTACATGCGCATTCCTGAAGGTTTTGGGCAGCATGATGAGACAAAAGTTTGCAAATTAAAAAAATCTTTGTATGGGTTGCGGCATGCCTCGCGCAATTGGCATCAAAAGTTTACGAGTGCGCTTATTAACGTGGGATTTCAACAATCCAAGGCTGATCATTCCTTGTTTTTATATAAACATGGTGCACAATTTCTTGTTGCCTTAATATACGTTGATGATGTCATTCTTGCTGGTGATGATCATGCCAAGATACAAGAAATTAAATCCTACTTGGATGCCGGATTCGGGATCAAAGACTTAGGCCCCCTAAAATACTTCCTTGGTATAGAAGTATCACGGACAACACATGGGTTGGTTTTAAGCCAACGGAAATACGCGTTAGATATCCTAAATGAGTGTGGTATGCAAGGTTGCCGAACTAGTGGATTTCCTGTGGAGCAGAATCATCAGCTTCGAGCAGATAGCTCAGGGGCTCTAGCTGAAGCTAATCAGTATCGACGGCTGGTAGGGCGCCTTTTGTACCTTACTGTCACACGGCCAGATATAACATATGTTGTTAATATCCTGAGCCAGTTTGTCACGGAGCCGCGACAAGAACACATGGATGCTGCCACACGTGTTCTGCGTTACTTGAAAAGAGCGCCCGGGCAAGGCTTGTTAATGTCTAAAGCTGGAAGTCTAACACTCACGGCTTATTGTGATGCTAATTGGGGAGGATGTCCTACCACACGTCGCTCATGCACAGGTTATTATATATCTTTAGGTGGTTCCCCAGTTTCTTGGCGAACGAAGAAACAATCTGTGGTTTCTCGGTTATCTGCAGAAGCAGAGTACAGGGCAATGGCTGTCACTGTGAGTGAACTACTATGGTTGCGTTGGTTACTATCTGAATTTGGGGCTTGTCAGATGCATGCAACACCTTTGTACTGTGACAACCAAGCTGCATTGTATATTGCAGCCAACCCGGTGTATCACGAAAGAACTAAGCATGTAGAGATGGATTGTTATTTTGTTCGTGAGAGAGTCCGATCTAATGAGATTGCTCCACATAAAGTACATACAAAGGTCCAGCTGGCTGATTTGTTCACCAAAGCACTAGGAAAGGATAGGTTTCATTTTCTTCTGGGCATGTTGGGCGTTGTGAACCTTCACGCTCCAACTTGAGGGGGGCATGATGAATAAGGAAGCAAATAATGCGGAATGATGAATGAGGAAAGCAAATAATGAAGACCAATTCTTGCAGATTTCTTTACTGTATATTCCTTGTATATAGTGATTTAGTTTCTTTTCCAGTAGCTTACCTTAGTTTCTTTGCATGTATTTATTCTTTGCTATTATCAGTAATTAAACAGACCTTTCCCTCATCTTCCTTTTTCACGTCTTACCAATATCCCTTGAGTTTCTCAAACAACTGCACGCCGTTTTCATCATACTGGAAGAGATTGTGGTGAGCACACATGGAAAAAACCGACTTCCCCCAAAAACTCAGCTTTGTACGTAATCCCAAATCTGGCCGCAAGATCATTGCACCATGTGAACCTCGAACCTGCGATGATACAATCAGGGCGTTTTTCTGCCACAAACCGCTCAACTGGGTGTTGGAGGCGATCGAGAGCGTTAAAAAACCTGAGGGTCTGCTCTAAAGTTGTGGTGTCGGAGAGGTTCTCATGGCCCACAGCACCAATGATGGATTTAATTCTCCGGGGGTAGCCCGAATTATTAAACCCGGATAAGTATACGTACGAAATAAATAATAGGACGCAGAGATATAATAAGGTCGCGGGGACCGTAGGTCGCAGGGACCGTATATTGTATTAATTATCGCTAATAAGCTATTACAAGGCTTGATTAGGACAATAAGGCTAGAAGATAGCAACTCAGGAATCTGTTGTGTTGTGTAATGATCAGGTCCTTTGTTAGGACAAGAGGGAGTCCTTTTATATCAGCTCAAACTCCCCAACCGGACCCCTAGAATAGGGGTTAGTTGGATCGGCCCGCCTTGACCGCGTCCCCCCGGGACCGGGTCCAAGGCGGGCAACTCGGCACGGCCGAGCTGCCGAGCTCGGCATGGCCGAGCTGCTGAGCTCGGCCTAGCCGAGTCCACGAGTCCACCATGGACCCGCCCGGTAGTGCTCGGGTCCATAGTGGTGGGCTCGGGACACCCGAGCCCACCCGTGGCCGGACTCGGCCCAAGGCCGAGATGCCTTGGGCCAACTCGGCCACGGCCCACTTGACTGGGTCGAGGGGCTTCTCGGGTCCGTCTCTTCCGGGTCGGTTCGTTCCGGGTCTAATATATCCATCACACGAATATAAATAAAATACACGAGTTATTTCTCTCTAAAAGAGTAAAACCTAACCTCAAAATAGTTGGGTGCAATGAAATACAACCCGAAAGGCAAAAGTAAAACAGACAGGAAAAGATCACATTATGATGATCATAACTCTAACCCTTAACTCCTTTATATTCCTCTGAGTTAGTTATCATAAATGGATATTGTTGCTCACTCCAATGAAAGGCCTATGACCAGTTTCAACTCGATCTGAAACCGTGTAGTGCTGATCTGCTGGATATTTCCAACCCTTTCAAACCACTAACTCAACATGACCCTTAAGAGTGTGCATCGAATAACATCACCTGGCCATCTCAGATCTCCTTTTTTCTTGCTTCGCGGCTGGGAACGATGACGGTGATCCGCCATTCTCGAAAAAACCTTAGAGAGAGAATATGATTCTTGAATCTCTCTC